ACTGCACCCCAACATGAGAATACTTGGAAAGAGAAATATAATAAAGCCCGAGAATATCTCCACTCTAAACTTGATAACCCCGAATTAGAAGAAGAAATTATTAAGACATCGAACAAAGTAGTAATTGGAAAAACGACAGAGAAAATAAACAATGAACACAAGAAAGCAGCAGTTACGGCTATTCAAATAACTACGACTCCTGAAACTTGTAAAGAGATCATTTCCGAACAAAAGAAAGATGGGCAGATTGAATTAAGTGAGACTATTAAAAAAGAATTAGACATTCCATCAACCGAAACTTTAGTAACCACCGTTCAAAAATATACTACAAATGAAAAATTAAAGAAACCCGAATCAACATCTTGGTGGACAACAGCCGTAAATCTTAGTTATTTAAAAAATGCCGCTGCTCAACATGAAGGAGAATGGAGGGAAAAATATAATAAAGCTCGTGAATATCTCTCTTCTCAAATTGGAGATGCCGATGCTGAAAAAGAAATTTTAGAAGCTACAGACAATTATGTAGTTGACAAAGCAACACATAAAGTCATTGAAGATCATAAACAAGAAGTAATTGCCATCGAGAAAGAGAAGAAAGAAAAGAGACAAAGCATTCTTGAAAATCTAACTGGTGGTTTAACCGGCTTATATAAATCCGCTACTGAAGTAACTAAAAATCTTGGAGAACACATTGAAAAAGCTCTCACTGTCGATGCGGATGAACACGATCATCAAGAAAAAGCAGCAGCCTTAATAGTTATCCAATCGAATACCACTCCTGAAAAAACAAAATCTATCATTACGGATCAAAAAAATGATGGAAGCTTCGAATTAAGTCAAACAATAGTTAAAGAATTAGATGTTCCTGAAAAAGAAGTCGTAACAACAATTCAAACATGCACTACTAATGAGAAACTCAAGAAACCTGAATCCGCTTCTTGGTGGAATACAGCATTAACTCTCAGTTATCTTAAGAATGCCGCATCTCAACACGAAGGAGAATGGAGAGATAAATATAATAAAGCACGAGAATATCTTGCCTCACAAGTTGGCGATGCGGAAGCAGAAAAAGAATTACTTGATACTGCAGATAAATACGTAGTTGATAATGTAACTAAGAAAGTTATTGTTGAAAAGAAGAAAAATGCAGTAATTGCTATCCAATCCCATACAACACC